CCCCCCCCCCCCCCCCCCCCCCGCCATGAACAATTCGTGGCTTTAAATTATTCATTCAATAAAGTTAACAAAATGGTACGCAAAGTTTCTCTTCTTTTTATTAATATTTAGTGAGATGCTCACATTGGTAAAAATATCCATAAATAGCAATTTAAATATATAAACAGTAATATTCTTGCTGTTGTTATTCATAACCACTGGGGCTGTTGAGACAGGAAGCAATGAGCAGAAGTGAAAAATCTCAGCTACAGAATGGGAAGGCAGCCAGGCGTGGTGGCCACGTGCCTGTTCACCCAGTCACTGGGGAGGCTGAGGCAGGAAGATCACAGGTTGGAAGACCGCCTCAGCAACTTAGCTAGACCCTGTCTCAAAAAATAAATAAAAGGGAGGAGTCTGTGGGTCTGTGGTGGCTTAGCGGTTAAACGCTCCCGGGTCCAATACCTGGTACGGAAAAAAAAAAAAAAAAAAAGAAAGAAAGAAAAAGAAAAAGTCATTCTCCCCTCCCCCCAGGGTTGCTCTTTGCCTCTCATTTTAGAGACAGGCTGCTATTTTACATCTTACTGACTTTGTGGAGGACTGACCTCGTAATTCCTTCCTTAAATGTGACATGCGGATCAGATGTCAAAAGCATTTTTACAGCATACATAATACTAGACCCTAATAATGACTCAAACTTCTAATTTTTAAAAGATCATGAACCATCTAATGCAAAGTGTTCCAGTATCCTTATAAAGAACTTTTGAACAGGATAATTTCTCAACTCCAGATAGAATAACCCTTTTCCCAGAATTTTCTCCAATGCATTTTGCTTTTCTTACTTTGTCAAAATACCCTCGAGTCTGTGGTCTACTTATTTCCACTACCTATGTCTGTGTACAACCTTGGTGGCAAAGCACTAACAAACATTCCAAATGTGAAGACAATTTACTAATCTGTATAGCTTCCTTGCCTTTTCATCTATCAGAAGAAATGTTCCTAAACACATCTAGTTTCTAGGAGAATCAAGATTAGTTGAGGGTGTTGTTAGGAACCCCTTATAATTGATTAGTACATATATTTTTTTTTTTTAGCCAGAAAGGAGCAGAGAGGCAAATCTCTAACTGATGGCATTAGAATTTTCTTAATTTTGAAACAATTTGCATCTCAACCTCTCCATATTAACAATGTATTCTTCCAGTAGCTATTCCAAGAGCCTCCTATCATTTTCATTCTCTAAGGCTGATTCATCCCTAGAAGTCATGTAAGGCAAACATTTGACTTTAGTCCTCATGATTTCCCTCTCATTCCTATTGTAGTAGCATGTCTTGTATTAAATAATTTTTCTTTGGAGGATAAAGAAAACCCCCATTCCTGTAATCCCAGTGGCTCCTGGAGGCTGAGACAGGAAGATCATTGGTTCAGTGTCAGCCTCAGAACAGCGAGGTGCAAAACAACTCAGTGAGACCCTGTCTCTAAATAAAATACAAAAATGGGTTGGGGACATGGCTCAGTGGTTGAGTGCACCGAGTTCAATCCCTAGTACCCCGCCCAAAAGAAAACTCCCATTCATATCTAAATTATGTAGATTAAGTATTTAAAACACTAAATTATCATCTTAAATTACACCTGGACTATATGAACTTCTGACCCCTTTAAATCTTATATTCCTTTTTCCTTTTTCCTCTTGCTCTTCTTCTTAAAGAGGGTGCACTATGATTTTAGGAAACCAAGCAGATTTTAGTGACAGCTGTGGAATTAGCTGAATGATACTTGCCAAAACAATCACTCAATGTCTTCTTTGTTACAAATCAGAGGAGATTTTATATCTATCTATCTATCTATCTATGCATGCACACACACACACACACACATATATATATATATATAAACA